TACCTGCCAGGAGAAGTCCTTGGCAGCAGATGCTATGACTGTCAATCATAATTTTCTTTAAAAAAATTTGTTGTTGTTGTTTTGCTAGCAAGAGAGTAAAAGTGAAAAATCATTTTATCATTGAAAGGTGATGGTCACATCCTAGTCCCTTTGCCTCTATTCTTCTTTTGTGGTTTTTGGGTACGCACACACATACCCAGCGTGTTTCTCAAGCCACTGGGTCAGGGACCCAAAATGCATAGTTGGCCATGTGGGACCAGGTACCTTAACCACCGTGCCACCAGCTGGCCCTCTGTTCTGTTTTGTTTTAATCTGATTAAACTTGACTAGTCTCCAAGTATTTCTATACAGGCAGTCCACCTAGATTCAAAGGGTTCCCAAACAAAAGTCATCTTGAGAGAATATGGAGGTGCTTCAGGTCCTTGGACACATGACTTAGTATCGCAAAGATGTCTATTACTTCCGATTTATGTATGTTTAGTGTGATCTCAATAAGAAGTGCCAAAAGAATTCTCCCTCTCCTCCTGTACTGCAGTCCGGTTGATTCTAAAGTTCCTGCATAAAAATAAAAAAGCAAGAAGAGAGAAAAAATAAAAGCAAAATAAAACCTCTGACAAAGAGCAAGGGAATGAGAAGGAAATAGCCCTCCCAAATCTCGAAGTATACTGTGAAGCCTCTCTGATAAAACAGTGTGGCATTGGTGCATGACTAATAGAACGGGAGAGAAAATGCAAAAACAAATAGAAGAATATAAGGAAACTAAGTATATCATGAATGTGGCATATCAGATGCGGAAAAGATGAACTTTTGCATAAACAAGACAAGTTGCAAAGCCACTGGGGAAAAGCTAAAATATAAGTTCCTATCTCAAACCATTGGCTAGAGAAAACTCCCAATGGATCAGAGCTCTCAATGTAGAAAATGAAGCCACACACATACTATAAAGAAGCCCCATTAAATTTCTTTACCTCCCTTTCTATGGCTTAAAATTGAGAAGTAATAAAGGAAATAAACTTAACTAAAGAAACACAGATAAAATTTTTATGGCAAAACACCATAACATCAAAAAATAAAGGATAAATTGGGAGTAAAATTGTATGTTACAGATTAAAAGGCTATTCTCTCTAATAGATAAATAAGTCCTAAAAGTTGAGATGGAAAAAACAATCCCAAAAACGTAAGCAAAACCCATGGACGTGAAAGGTTCCAGGTCTTTTTTTTTTTTTTTTTTTGGAGAGG